CTGGGGGGGGTCTGGATGGCCCCCAGGAGGGGCGGGGCCAGCACCAGCCGGGGTGGGGCAGGGGGCACTGAACTGCACTTCCCACCTACTCCAGGGACATCTGCTCTTGCCCCTAGGTGACTGAGCCCACGGGAGCCGCCTGGGTGGGGGCTGAGGTCCTGGCTGTATCCCCCCAGCCTGGGCTTCCTGCTCTTGGTCTCCCCTTCCCAGCACTGCCCCCCGCCCCACCAGAGGAAGTCGTCAGTGGCCTGTGTAGGAAGCCTCCTTCCCATGGAGGTCCCGGCCCCCACCCAAGCCCAACATCCTGGCCTCCTCCCCACCTTCCCAGGATGGCATCAGGTCTCTGCAGGGCACTCGGGGCCAAGGAGGGTGTCCAGAGAGGCCAGCGCCCCAGCCTTGGGAGATTCTCGTTCCCCCAGGACCCCTGCACCCCGGCTGGCCAACTCCCCTCACTAACATCACTGGTCACTTGGGGGCCTCACGGATTTTCTTTGGGGTGAGCTGGAGCCCTGAGGGCAGGGCTGGGTCATTTGGGACCCCTGTCACGTGCCCCACCCAACTCTGGCATTGAAGCACCCCAGACTTTAGCCTGAGCCCCCTCACTGGGTGGCTCCCTGCCCTCAGGGCTCCCTGGTCTCAGGGAGGCTGGGGGACGAGACGGAGGCTCCTCAGTGAGGGGTCGCCTGTTACACCGCCAGCTCTAGGGCTGGACAGGAGCTGTTCCAGCAGGCCTTCGACGTTCCTGCTGGCTCCTGAAGTCCCCTGTCCGAGCTGGGCTGAGGGGGTGAGGATGGCTGACAGGTGGACGACTTGGGAGCCTCGGGGCGCCCTGCCTGTAGAGGGGGAGGGGTTGGGCTGGGGTCACCATCAGCTCCCAGAGCAGACCCCTCAGGACAGGCCCAGACTGACTTTAGCAGGTGTGGGCAGACCAGGGCGGAGCTCAGATCAGAGGTCTGCTCGCCCAACACCCACCCACCTGTCCCTCTGGCCACTTGTCGGCCAGCTGTCCACCCACCCACGTATCCATCCACCCCCAGCTGAACACCCTCCCCGCTCTACACCACCCCACGCATCCACTTTGGCAGCCCTGGTGTGGGGACCAGCTCTGCCTGAGCAAGGAAGCCGACCCAGTGCTGTGATGGCGGTGTGGGTGTTCCCTGAGGAGCGGAAGGGCCACCCCCAGGGCAGAAGTGCTGCAGTGAACGCAAACAGTTGACGAGGAACTGCTGTGGGTCACTAGGGCCAGCGCTGGGCCAGCTGTGTGAAATTCCAACCTTGCTGTAGGCCAGCTGGCTGCAGCCCAGCTGATCCATCCCAGGGCCCGGCTGGGGAGGTGACAAGGTTGGGGCACAGGACAAACTCAGGCCTGGGCAGAGCTGCCAGCCAGGCACGGCTACTCACCACCTGAAATGTAATTTTTAATTTAAATACCAACCTAAAAACAGACGTTTGATCCACTTATTGGAAAACTTTTAAGTACGTTTGGAACAATTTGGGTTTATGAATCTCCTTTTTCATCTACAATTTTATTATTTTTTATTGTTTTGGGCTGTGCCGCGGGCTCGCGGGATCTTAGTTCCCTGACCAGGGATCGAACCTGTGCTCCCTGCGGTGTAAGCGCAGAGTCCTAACTACTGGACTGCCAGGGAAGTCCCTCATCTACAGTTTTAGGAAATCTTATATACAGATGAAATACTTCCAATGAAAATTAAGCAGAAAATATAGGTAAGGGTAAAATACACCCTGGACTTAGAGAATTTAGTATGAGTGAAGAATGTAAAAATCTCAATATTTATTGAGTATTTCATGTTGAAATGATAATATTTTGGATATACCTGATTAAATTAAACATTTTTTAAAGTAATTTATTTGTTTATTTACTTTTTAGCTGTGTTGGGTCTTCATTGCTGCGTGCGAGCTTTCTCTAGTTGTGGCAAGCGGGTGGGGGGGCTACTCTTTGTTGCGGTGCGCGGGCTTCTCATTGCGGTGGCTTCTGTTTGTTGTGGAGCACCAGCTCTAGGCGCACAGGCTTCAGGAGTTGTGGTACGTGGGCTCAGGAGTTGTGGCTCATGGGCTCTAGAGCACAGGCTCAGTGGTTGTGGCTCACGGGCTTAGTTGCTCCATGGCACGTGGGATCTTTCTGGACCAGGGCTTGAACCCATGTCCCCTGCATTGGCAGGCAGATTCTTAACCACTGGGCCACCAGGGAAGTCCCCCCCCCCCTTTTTTTTTAAATTTATTGATTTTTGGCTGCATTGGGTCTTTGTTGCTGCGCGCGGGCTTTCTCTAGTTGCCGTGAGCGGGGGCTACTCTTCGTTGCGGTGCGCGCAGGCTTCTCATTGACGTGGCTTCTCTTGTTGTGGAGCACGGGCTCTAGGCTCGTGGGCTTCAGTAGTTGTGGCACGTGGGCTCAGTAGTCGCGGCTCGCGGGCTCTAGAGCGCAGGCTCAGTAGCTGTGGCACACGGGCTTAGTTGCTCCGCGGCATGTGGGATCTTCCCCAATCAGGGTTCAAACCTGTGTCCTCTGCATTGGCAGGTGGATTCTTAACCACTGCGCCACCAGGGAAGCCCTAAAGCACCTTTTAAAAACTGATTTTCAGTTTACTGATGGCACCAGTTTCTCTTTCCGTTTTTTCTATGTGACCATTGGGACTCTCTCCAGTGGAAGGGGGAGGGCTTGCATTGGCTTTGTGTCTGTGAGCACAGAATGGAAATGTTGGGGTCCTCCACCGGACCCCAGGCTGAGCCCTGGGACCCCCGCTGTGCTGAGGGGTTAGGACAGTGGTTGCCACATTGTGGAGGCTCCCCGCATTGAGGGGCTGGGGCCAGGGAGCCACTCCACCCCCCACAGCACCCGGAGAACCATTGCGCCCCAGTGCCAGCGGTGCTGGGAACCTCAGAGGTTGGGAAACCCTGGGTGGGAGGCTGCTGGTGGACGACTTGGGAGCCTCAGGGCGCCCTGCCTGGAGAGGGGGAGGGGTTGGGCTGGGGTCACCGTCCACACCGAGAGCAGACCCCTCAGGAAAGTTCTCTGCCCAAGAGGCCTGTTTCAAGCGCAGGGTCTGTA